TTATTAGTTTTAACATGGCATCATGTCAAAGTGTCACTTTGTCCTCCCATAGTCCCTCTGGCTCTTCTCTCTATCTCGTTTCAGATAACTCCGGCACCGGGACTGCAGGACAACACCCTAACCGGTCGAGGCAGATGACCGCCCACACTGAGCCTGGTTCTGCCAGAGGTTTCTCCCTGTTAATGAGGGAGTTCTTCCTCTCCACAGTCGCCTGTGCTTGCTCATTGTGGGAACTGTTGGGTTTCTCTATGTTACTATTGTTTTAAGGTCTTGACCTTTAAATGTAAAGTGCCTTGAGATAATGTAAATTATGGATTGGCGCTATAGAAATAAAATTGAATTGAAAAATTGAATTGAATGTACTTTCAGTATTTTATCAGGGGCCGCAGCTGGGAGGCAGGTAACTCTTTAAGAGGAAGCTGTTTAACGCTGGGTGACGTTAGCCTACTTTCTAGCTAGCAGGCTAGCCGTTAGAAACACCCTCCCCCCGCTCGCTCACCTGCCCCAGCATGACGGGGTCGGGCAGGATTTGAATCCCATACTTCATCTCGTTCAGTTCCTCCAGGTTCAAGAAGGCGGGGACACACAGGGGACATACCAACAGGAAAACGTACAGTCTCTTGAGCCAGCGCACTAAGGAGGCGGCCATGATGAGCGACTCTGTCCTCTCACTCCCCCCCACAGAGTCTGACAGCAACAACACACAGGGCGCCTGACATGGTGGCAGCTGATTGGTCCACGGTTCAAGCGCTGCGCTGTCATTGGTTGATTCTTTAGTCAGTCAGCAGCGTTGCTGTTCGGGAGGGATGTGCTGGGTTATCACACCGGCACACAGTGAACGGGCGGTGCCCGAGTGTACAGCAGTGATTAGTCCAGCTTTGTGGAGCCACAAAACAAACTCACCAGTAGTGGACAGTTACCGGGCTTGCGTTGGCCTGAGGATTGAGGCGTGTCAGTGGTTAATTTGACCAAATAATCCTTTTCTTATTTGGTAACAACCTAAAGATATCAAACAATCACACTGTGCAAGAATCGTCCCCTCAAGTTCAAAAGCTCACTTTTAGTGGAGGAATGAAATGTGAGAATGTGAACCTACGTGTTTTTAGTATAGAAAAAGAAGGATAACATCTATTTAAACATGCACAATTCCCACAAGTGACACATGTGCACCACGTCTTCACACGACACACAACAAAATAGACACACGCACAGATAGTGCTGCAGGTCATGTGCAGTTTGGGGGTGGGGGGTGTATTGTTGCAGTTTCTCGGAGGAGCGCAGCGATTGACTGTGTTGGGTGGAGGTGCGTTGATGCTGCCGGTGCTGCAGGGGGAGCGTCCGTCCACAGCCCGCAGTGCCGCTGCGGTGTGCGGCCGCTTGATGCGCCTCTTTACCGCCGCATTTCCCCACATCTAATCCAATTTTCGCAAAAGCTCCAAGGAGCAAATTCACCAGAAGCACCGAGCTCCTCGCAGGCAGCAGCAAGGGAGGTGGAAACATCTTTTACTGCGCGCGTCTTTGTGCTGAGGTGAGCCACCCTCCTCTATGTGATTTTTGGGGGGGGCTGCAATAATAGGCCAGATGCGTTTCTAGCACGTTTTCCTCCGGCTCTGGGGCTGGACGTCTGAAGACTACCGGATCATATGTGAGGAGGAAAGAAAGGCGGGGGGTTTTCTTTTGGTGACAAGGTGATAGTCGGTCGATTTAGAGGAGATGCGTGTCTTCACGTGAGGGATCAAGATTTGTGTGAATGATATTTTTCCCTGCAGTCTTCCTCACCACAAGGTAGGATGATGATGATAGGCCTAGGTCCAATGAAGCTTATCAGCTTCATCAGCAGCCGGCCATTTAAGCTCGCTGGCCCGGATACCTGGACATTTGATTTCATTGCTCGGACATTTTGTTATGTTAAATGATATTAGACAATAAGGGAGGGGAGTAGCTCATGGCGATTTAATAGTCCAGAATGAATTTATTCTATTGAGGCAACAACAGCTCTTCTATTCCGGTGACATGACCAATGGCTTACTGGCATTAGACCTGAGATATTTAGCTGGAGAAGATACGCTTCTTCCTCACATTTTAAAACATGCTTCCCCAATATTTTTAATATGTCTGACAGATTGCATGGTTTGGAATGATGCTAAAGAGACTCCATTACATGAAGGTGGTGAAACAGCTATGCAGTACAAGTACAAGCTTGTCTATCGCTAAATGATGTCCATCTGAAATCATTTCTTTCTTTCAAAACTATGGTTTGTTATGATCAACAGCAGATCCCAGTCTGCTGTTGATCATAACAAACCATAGTTTTAAATGGAGACAAAATTAATATTTTCTCCACAGTCAAAAATATTTTTGATCAAAACCTCATCATCACCACTAAAAATGACAGTGAAACCTTGGTATTTAGATTGATGAGAACATTGTGAAAATTGTGCAGAAAATTTGGTGAGCATGGAGTGGCTTTTTCATTGGGAATAAATTCTTCTTCCGATTGCATTGGAGAAAACCATTTTTAGGCAACTTTTAAGGTTATTTTCAGTTACTTTCATGTGTAGATAACGGTGACATCGGGTGCGACACTAAATGACAACAGACATCATTGTTTCTTGTACCAAAAGGTTGGGTGATGCACAGTTTGAGAGGCCTTTACAGATGTAGTTGATTATTTATAAGGCCTCCTTTGGAAAGCTGCCTGCATATATTACATCCATGTTAGTTTGGTTCACTGGACAATACACTCAGACTAATGACTGGCTCAGGCTCCTTGTCCCTCTGGCTCATATTTAGCTCATAAAAGTTCTGCTTTTTTGTTTCTTAACACTATCCATCATCCAAGTACTAAATAATTAACTTGTTTGCAAATCTTGGTCATCTTAAATATAAATCTCAAATTCTCTGATTTCTGTTTGTACTTGTAGACATTTTTAACCGAATATGATTTATAGTAAAACAAAGTGAAAAGACTTATCATTGAGTAAAAACAGTAAAAACCCCTGTAATTGGATAAACCTTCCGGTAATTACCTATAAAGAGAATTTAAAAATGAACTATTACAGAAAAATCTCATCTTATTCAATCATATATATATAAAAGACAGCATGGCACACACTGCCTAAATATCATCCCTTTTTGTGTATTTTTGTGTTAGAGGTGGCATAGAATAATGAATTTGGTAATATAGTATGTAAATTATATACTTGTACACTGACTGTTGGCTACATCACTAATAGAACATAACAAGGTGCTTTTAAAAGGAGCACTTAAAGAAATCATTTCCTGTCTAAAACAGAGAGTCTAAAATGGCCAATGATTGGCTGCTCATTCCATCTCATCCCTTGTATTGATTGTTTCCTGTTTGTCAGAATAACACCAGTGGTCAACCCCCCAAACCCTCCGGGATATCATATCCCCTGGGGGCTGTAAGACTGCAAACAGCTGATGAGACACCATATGGACGCTTGACTGTGTTTTGTGCGAAGACTTCAATGCCTTTATGATTAAACCCCTTTATTACCTCTGTATTTTATGACTAATTTTGCTTATTTCATCTTGTGTTCAGATGGGGAAGGTGTTCACCAATTTCTGTGACTATGGTCTCTGGAGATGCAGGTGCCCACAGAGGATCCCCTTTCACTGACTGGATCGAGGCAGTTGGGTAAATATTCCTCTGAATATTCTTATAATTATACAGGCAGTTGTGGGAATGTTTTTTGATGTTTAGAAGAATGCAAATTCTTTGAACACACGCAATTTTCACTTTGTCTGACTATAACAGCTTTGCAGCAGCGACACAGCTCCCTAACAAACTCTCCTTTTTAGCTCCACAAAACCTGCAAAACATCTTCTCTTTCAGAATGTGGTGTTGTAGGGCAGACTCAATTGAAGAGGTGTCACCTTAAACAAAGCCCATTGCTTATGCTGTGATGAGAATGTGCTTTTTATCACTTTGGAAAAAAATGTTCTTGCAAAATGCTACATTCCATATTTTCTTTTCTGGTCTTGATGGTTACAATGATGCTTGTCAACAATGACATGCAATAGCTTGTGTGTAATTTGCCCTGACAGGAATCTGACAGGCATACAGACAGATGGACCATCCTGAGGGAAATGTTGGTTCATTATTTTATCTCCTTTTCTGCCTTCGTGGGGGAAAGGGTATTAGCTGTCATTAGAATTGAATTTCTGAGATATGTTTTTTTGATTTTATGAATTGTCTCTTGAGCGTAAACGGTCAGTAATGAATGACCCTGTACTGCCTACCCACCACACATGCACACATGCAAACTGTGTGTACAGGATACAGTAATAATTGTTATTGCTAACACTAAAACAACTCAAGTGGCAATGTTTGTCACAGCTGAAATGGAAGGGCTCCAGTTTCAATAAGTGCTGTCTGTTAAAACAACTTGGGGGTGGGGCTCCTGCAGCTGAACCTTTACCCTGAGGTTCATATAGCTGGTAGGAAACTTCAGTCTGCTCACCCAGCGGGAAAGTGACAAGCTGCTTGTGTTTAATCCCTGGTATAGCATGACAATATTACTCTGTGTGAGCATATGGAAACTGATAGTATGTTTGAAGTAAGGCAACAAGGTTCAGAACAGGGATGTCAGCTGCACTGCACACTGTATCAACTAAATTGCAGGGGCAACACTTACTAAAGTGACCATTTATCTAGAAAAGTTGTTGACTGGGGGTTCTTTGACGCTTGTTGATTTGAACAAAGGGAGATCCAAAGAGGTCCAGGTAAATTCCAATGGTTGGTTTATTGATAAATGAATGTTACAACTTGTAGTTTTGTAAAATAAATAGCGTGCAAAGCAGCAGTGAGGCCTATCCTTAGCAAACAAAAGCAAGCACACACTCAAACCACAAGGTCAAAAAGCTGTGTGCTTCCAGTCAGCCACACCTCCACCAGGCCACTCTCCTATTTATGGCCTTTTGACCTGCAGAGGGCACAAGAGCTCAGGAAAACATAAACAAAGCAGGCATTGTAATAACTTATTAAATAAATAGCGAAATGGCTCCTACACTTACATGTAGGCATGTGAGCATGGCATTATCAGTGACTTATCATCCTTGTCTCTGCCAGGTTTTAGAATGAGGTCCCTGAGGAAGACAGTGCTGCTTGCCATTCTGGCGTCCATTGTGCTGGTACTGGCCCTCCTTCATTCGTGGCCGACCCGGGCCTACACCACTGTGGATGTGTGGCAGCGACCAGGCCTGGAGGAGAGGCTCCCAGAACCAGACCACCGATTAGGCAACATCCCATTTCGTATTAGGGATAGTGTGGCAAGGTAAGTGTTCAAACAGGACCAGTTCATTTTATTCTATACATTGGGCCTGAGCCTAAATGTGTCTCTGTCGATCCATCCAGTTTGTTGGCACGTAATGGCTGCATATGTGAGGGTGAGAGTGGAGGAGTGAACCTGCCCTTCGCCCAACTCTTATTCCCGCGGGTGTCGGCTCACCCGCTGCACACTGCCTTTGAGGCCTCTGAGCTGGAGGAAATAAAGAGGAGACGGGCCAAAGAGTACAATAGTTTCCAGAAGAGGTGAGCAGCACTGTGAAACAATGAGAATTATGATGATGCACACAGAGAAGGAAAAAAATGACCAAAAACCACTATGAAAAAAACAGTCAATACATACATTTTCTGTATGGCTCTAGTAGATGAAACCACCCCCCCCAGCCTCAAACACCACAGTGTCCTTAACCTCTTTCTTTCCAATCATTCAGGATTCATTTTTCATCCTATAGCTCAAAGAGAACCTGAACAAAGCAGTGATGCTTTAAAAAGAAAAGAGGCTTTATTGCTCATCTTCTTTCCTCCCTACATTAAACTACCTTTTTCCTCACTCAAGAACAAAATCATAAGGTGACAAGGTCTTTTATTTTTAGCTGCAACTAGATTCATAGCAAGTCCATTTATATTTTCAAAGAGCAAAACCCACTCACTGAAGTTTGTGTCCTTTTATTCTGTTGTGTTTTTGGCTGTTGCATCTTCATGCTCATTGTGCATGTGAACATGTCTCCTCAGGTCACTGACACCTGTAGATGTTCTTATTGTAGCAGAGGCGAACAATCCCTTACAGTATCCAACACAGGGGGTGGAGGTCCGGCCCCTGAAAACAATCATCATCCCAGGTAAGACCTCAGAGACGGAGAGGGGGAGGTTTACGACTTGTATGATACTTCAGATCATTGTCCAACAAGTTTGTTTAATGTGTGGCTAATTTAAAAACTGTCAGTAGCAAGGAGGTGGGTCAACTAAGTCTGTCAACTGTTATCATATGCTTCCAGGCTTGGCCTTACACGATATTCCCAGAGACCATCACTCGGTGAGTACTTCAGTATGTCCACATGTTTCAGAGCTCCTCTGGCTTTTTATCTCATCTACGTTCCCTCCATGTTGCTGCAGGTAAACATCACTGCCACACTGGGAACACTTAACATGGCAGCAGAGGTAGATGGGGTGAAAGTCAAAGGGGACGGCGAGATGCACATGACTCTGTCGAGCAGCCTCCTGCCGAACCTGAACCGACAGCTGCAGTTTGTCACCTACACAAACACTCTGTTTCACCCCAGCACGGCCGACACAGGTGAGGCACACAGCTCATGTTGTTTGTATCATCCACACACTGCTTATAAAGATGGACGATGCATCTCCACTTGAACACTGTGGCAGTAGACCATGCCACGGGGCTCCCCCAAGCAGAGCCAGAGATGAATCAGTTGCTTTTCAGCATCTTTTATTATACTCAAACTGAACAAACATAAATTAAACGCACTTAAACTTGCCAGCACTTCCTACTGGCATCCTGCTTTGCAGCTCAGCCCAGTATCCCTTCATCTCTGCTCTGGTCCTGAGTTCTCTCCTGAGTGTCTCTTTCAGCCGGCCCCGCTGCTGCCTTTTGTACCAGAGGATCAATCAGCTAACAGCTCTCACCTGCGCTGACTGATCCTCTGGTCCAGGTGTCGGTGCTCTCCCAGCTACCTCCACAATCACACTATCCAGACATGAAGCGATACAAACCTGGTCATCTTGTGCATGTTGAGCCAACCTTTGTTTTTAAAACATCAAACAACCACCAGAAAAATTTGCACTTAAACATACAAACATTAAATATAAAAAAGACCTAAAAGGAAACTGTCAGACACTTTTTTGCATTGCACTATAAACATAAAGATATAAAGTCACTGAATCTCAATTTAACATTTTGCTCTCACTCAATTATTTTACTTGGTTACATTTAAAGTAGAAAATATCACAGAGTAAAAATAAAAATGAGGTGATGATTAACAGCAATGAATGAAAAGAGCTGAAGCAGCGACTGCAGCAGATCAGAAGTTGCTGGTGAGTCTGCAGCTTCAGGGTCTGTGGCCGCTGCAGGGCTCACAGTTCATACACAGGTTTACATTCACTGACAGAGCTCAGATCAGTGTGTGCAGAGTCCAGAGAGGCTGTTGTGTGTTTGACATGTGTTTCACATTGAGAAAATGAACAAGTAGAGAAGTTGAAGTGCAGCAGATTGTGGAGGACCTTGAGACTCGGAGTGATGTTCAGACAGGTGTGTGCTACAGACGAGGACGTCATCAACGACTACTGTGTTGTTTAGCAACAAAGTTGAATAGAGAAATTGAAAAGTGAACACAAGTTTAAAAAGAAACTCTGGACAATTCAGTCCAGACTCTTATTGGAGTTTGCCTTTCACAAGAACGCAGCAGTAGATTGTCCAGGTCAGACGTGGAGCAGATCAGTTATATCCAGTTACACCAGTCGATTATATGAGGTTGTTTTGTTGTGTCTTTTAGTGCAGTTTGAGACAGAGGGTCATCAAGCTGTCTTCAGTATCAAGATCCGTCACGGTGTCACACCTAAACTGTACAACACTGGATCCAAAGGAGGTAAAACACCACACCTGCACTTGTCATAGCTATTTTTGATATTATTGTTGTTAAGTAAAAAGTTAAACTTTCTTCTGTGTTGTTTGATTCTCCATCCCAGCAGACTACAACGTCAGCGCCCTCGTTACCATAGCTACGAAGACATTCCTGCGTTATGATAAGCTTCAAGATCTTATCGACAGCGTCAGAAAATACTATCCTACTGTCACCATAGTAATCGCTGATGACAGTGAAAATCCCCAAACCATCTCTGGGCCTTACATCGAGCATTACATCATGCCTTTTGGAAAGGTGAGGACAGTCTTTTATCTCACACTTCTTTCTTTTGATGACCTCTGGAGCTCAAGCTTGGTGTCACGTGTCGCAGGGTTGGTTCGCCGGACGGAACCTGGCCGTTTCCCAGGTGACCACAAAGTACGTGCTGTGGGTGGATGACGACTTCGTCTTCACAGCCAACACGAAGCTGGAGAAGCTGGTGGATGTTTTAGAGAAGACCACGCTGGATCTGGTGAGGGACAGACAAATCAACTCAATGATTGCAACCGTGGTGCTTTTGCCGGGATGTCCGTGACATCAATGTTTGTGTGTGTGTGTGTTTGTTAAGGTGGGTGGTGCAGTGCGGGAGGCCACGGGGTATACTGCCACCTACAGACAGACCATCTCCATTGAGCCAGGGGAGGATGACGGTGACTGTTTACACTTGAGGAGAGGATTTCATCACGTCATCCAAGGCTTCCCCAACTGTGTCATCACGGATGGTGTCATCAACTTCTTTTTGGCTCGCACCGACAAAGTCCAGCAGGTCGGATTTGACCCGCGGCTCGCCAGGGTAGCTCACCTTGGTGAGTACAGTGAAACACCTGCAATTAGAGCAAGTAGATATCTTTCAGCATTTATGATTATTTACTGACGATTAATTAAATACTAATGAAAGCAATGGAGGCGTCCCAATTCAACACTAATCCATACTAACATATTTCCTGCATTATGCAAAGTTTACTTACTGATTCATATGAACAGGTAATTATACAAGGTGTGAAATGATGGAAAGAAAAGAAAGCACATTTAATGTTCAAAGAGAAAAAGAGATAAATAACATTCCATCTAAAGGATCCTCAACATTACACTAAACTATCTGAAAAGATCTGTTATAATTTACCAGACGCAAAATGCAGATGACACATTGTAAAAAGGTGAACCAACACAATTCATTCCCACAAAAAGTGGAGGTAGAGGGAACAAGCAAATCAAACTGCAGATGAACAAAAAAAGCCGGAGTTCCAGTGGAGTCTTCACAAAACTACAAACAAAAACTCCCAGGGTGCAGCAGCCCAACAAAGAGACTAGAGTTCCTTGAGGGTAATGGAAAGTATTAATTTAAAACACTGCAGCATAATCGTCATGTGGGCTGACGATTATGTTAGTGTTTAATGTCACTGTTAGTGGTTTATGCTTCAAAGATTCTTATCGTATTGCAGTTACTGAGATTGTATCATACAAACGTAATTATACTGTGATATTTTCTCATCTGTTATAATTAACTATCAACATTAGCATTAATCTCATGGAAATTACATTTACTATCTTCCCCTTTTCATCCCTACATATTTAGGTTGTTACAATTCTGTCGATTGTAAGAGTCTGACATTTGCATGAAATAACAATCCCATACTGTAACTCCATGTTTTTAAGGGTGCACATTCACATCAAATAGAAAAACACTGAATATCTTTTACACACTTCTTATGTCTCCGCGCCAGTGACAGCCCGTGGCCATGTTTTATTTTGTGTGCCACCTAGTGGTGCACAAGCCACTGCATACATTCACAAAAGGTCCATCAAACCATGCGCGTTGTTCTCGATCGCTGTACGATGACTTTCCTAAGACATTCATGAAGCGGTGAAACTTGATATTTCAAGTCTGACTTTTGACCAGTTCAAATATGAACTGATTATATTTAAAAAATGCATGTAGACGGAAGCTGCACTGATTGGTAGAGGCATACAACGGCAGGGTGGTAATTCTTACCCATACTTATTTTATTAAACTGATGTACGAGTTTTGTGGGTTTGAGGAACGTTTTTAAGGACTGATTAACTGAGGGAGTTTTAAGATTTTAAAGGAAGAAAAGTTTAACTTTTGAGTGTGTTATTGCTGGGTTTTTTTCAGAGTTTTTCATCGATGGCCTGGGATCCCTCCATGTGGGCTCTTGTGACGACGTCATTGTCAATCATGCAACCAAAATCAAACTTCCCTGGGTCAGCCAATCGGAGAGCGACAAGACTTACGCCAAGTTCCGTTACCCGCCAGCTTCCTCCGACGCCACACACACGAAAAATGGCCTCCTGTTCTTCAAAAACCGATTTCAGTGTTTGACTCGTAATTAGCTCCCCCACCCTTCTTTATCCAATGGTTCCTCTGCTCCCCCTGAGTTACCAAAGACCTCCAATGCGTCACATCAGATAAGATTTCAGACAAACCCTTTTGTTTTGCCTTGAAATCCTTTTAATATTCATTGTGTCTGTGCACAGATCTGAGCTTTGAGCTAACAAATCCTTTGGCAATGTAAATATCTTAAGCCTGGTATAGAACTCCAGATGCTCTTCTAGAGTGGAGACAATAGTATCAAGCATATCTGTTTACACACTTCAATAACAGCATCATCTGGATTCAAGGTTATGAAGGGATCCTGCTTTGTGTTTGTCAAATCTTATCTGTCTAAAGATTGTTCAGTGGATTCAACATGGAGACCAAGCTTTGGGAAAACTCTTGACAGGCAGCATCTTGACAGTCCCTTCATTGTTCTATTCTAATGTGAGCAGAGGAATGTGACCTCCTTCAGTTTGCACTATCCAAAAAAAGACTGAGCTTGGAAAAGCAATAGTGATTCAGTCTGGAGAGAAGGCGTCACCATTAGCGACGACGAAGGGACACTTACCAGGATGTGACAATCCTGTACACACAGAGCGTGGGTATCATTTCCACAGATGCTACGTGAAAACCGAACGTTTGTACGTGTGGTACCTTCGCTCTGTGGCTGACTGGTCGTGCCAAAGGTGTGACTGCTTTGCAGTGTTTTTATCCTGTTTTCGTTTGCGTACCTCGTTTTCGTGTTTTCGTTACCTAGAATGCTTTGTGTCATTTGTGAGTAACTTATCACTTCTGAGGAAAGGGAACTTTAGATCCCATCTTTCTGGAGTCACAACTGGTTGTTACCTGAGAGCGGCCTTGATACATTTTTTTTCGACCAGAAGGAGGATGAGGAGCGTTTCTGTCCAGTGCACGCCAACGAATGACGATTCATGCCTGAAGCAATAGTGTTATTTTATACCATGGCCTTTAGATGGCGCCCTTGTAACACGCTATTGTTTCCTAATAAATTCAAATTGTTTTTTAGGTTGTTTGTTATTAGCAAAGAGGTGCCAGAGATTTATAAAAAAAAAATTCATCCCAAGAGGAATATTTTGAAACTGGATTTTTTTTTTTTTCATTTTATTCAGTCAACATGTGACGTTATCTCTGTGGACAGGAGCGAGAAAATAACCTCATCAGTAAATCTACAATAAAAAAGACTTTTTGTGTAGATATGTGTTCAAAACAATGTGTCTCATGTTAGTATTTGTAACTGTTAAAGGTCAAGTGTGCAAAATTATGCTGAAAGGGATCTATTGAATTATTTATAGAGGCTGCCATGTTTTTTACAGCAGCCCAAACTGGACAAACTAAACACGTTTTGGGTTTAATGACAACTGTTACCACAGGTTCTCTGTCATGTTTGGAAGGGGAGGGTGAGGTGAGGGGTATTCAGCTGCAACATGACATTTCACCACTAAATTCTACACACTGTACCCTTAACAGATCCATAGCATTTTTTTAAACAGTGATATTTATTGTGTTGAAACAGAAATTGAACTTAGCCTGCTTCACCCAAAAACACTTCTGTGAGTCTTCTGACATAATGAACATTTTTTATTTATTTATTTAAAATGTTGACATATTAAAATGCCTGTGGAAAAAAAAAACACATTTGTGCAATATTTATGAAATGAAAAGGTTTTTTGTCCTCATAGCTCCAACCTCCCACGTGTTCATCCCACAAATTAACAATAAAGTCATTGAATATTTCTCCAAATATAATTGTGATTGGCTCCAGCTCCTCCTGAATCCATCAAAGGTTAAGTGGTATAAACAGGCTGGCTGGATGGAGGTATTATTGTTGTTCATAATATAAAAACTTAAATATTGGTAAATTAGGGAACTGACAAAAAGATGTAGTACTTCTTAATAATGTGTAAAGACATCCTAGTCTTTCACATGTACCATCCTGGGTGGGGAGACTGTAAACTTTAAAGACTGGAGGAGAAAATAAGCAGAGAAACAGGACCATGTTTGAAAGATCCATGTGCAGCATTAGAGCTGTTTGCAGGGGCTGACGTTTTGTGAGTGAACCTCCAGTGCTAGAGGAAAAATAAGAACAATACAAATTTGTTCACAATTAAACTAATTGGGACCATGATATAAAATCTTTCCACTAGAGGGTGCCGTTCACCAATGTTTTAAATGTTGTGAAATAGTTTTTGTGCAAGGATCAGATTTAAAGAAAAGGACTTGGACCAAACTCCCCAGAATTGATTTATGAAAATAAATAAAATCATTTCAGAAAAGAAAAGGCAGTGAAAACAACACACACAAAATAAACAAGCCAGAGAAAATAGATCAGCAGAGAAACATCAGTATGTCTTTTTATTTCTGTGTATCAGGACATAACAAGTCATAGTTGAACTGATATGATTCCACATGAGAGTATTTACATTAAAGACGACAGTGACTTATGAGCACCTCGTTTTATCTTTGTTGCCTGTTTCTTCTTTCCGCTTGATTTTGAAACGCTTTGTTTGTGTTTAGTTCAGATAACGCTCTAACAATGGCTGGATTAAAATAGCGCACCATTGGGGAAACACAAGCTATTTGTTGGTCTTGAGGGAATTCACAGACACACGAAACAACCCATATGGATTCAGATCCCACAGGGAGGCTGGAATCTATGGTCGACCAGTGAATTCAAGGACACAGTCATTTGAGGACAGAGAGCATCACTGTGAGCCCAGTTCTTTGGGAGAATAAAGTGGATTTGGTCCCTTATGAAAAATATTATCTATTACAAAAATAATCATGGGGGAAAATGTACTATGAACTATATTTTCACATTTCATCTCATGTTATTATCTGTAGATGTGTACATGCAGAGAATGGACAAAAGCCTAGATCAGATCCAGATCTGCCTTCAACACAGATGTATCTGAAGAAAAACCTGCATGGAAGGAAATGTGGGACATGATGTGAGGACACTGACACCTTGATGACTTCTGTACAGGAGTGAAAGAGTCAAACAATGCTGACAAAGCGCTCGGCAGCTCAATCCAGGCACTCCTTCTCCACGAGGGTAAAGTGAGTTCATGGGTCATAACAGGGTGTCACTGCTCGCTCTCTGTGAGCCGGTCCAGGTTGTTTGGTTGATGAGCTGAATAAGTCCGGCCCCCAGCTTTAAACACGGTCGCCTGTAAGTTAGCAGTCACACACTGAGAGGAGAAAAAACAGCAATACATTTAATATTTCAACGTATTCTCATGAAACGGTTTAACCAGTGGATTGAACATTGACATAATTGAAAGCTTCCATTGCATTACCCATATTATTCAAAACTAAACAATAAAAATCCTAAATACTGTATGAATTTGATCATTTGTCCTTTTTTTGGCCACCTGAGGGCAGCAAAACAAGCTGTAAAGGCAACTTTGACGTGTGAAAGTAAGTCCAATATTAAGTCTGCTTTTAGCTCTGTTTTTGGTCTCCACCGGATACTTTCAAAGCTAAATGCTTCACTATGTTCAGCGGCAAGTTGTCTGGTTTTAGGTGATGAGCAGGTTTACTGGGTTTATAGATTTTGTTTCATGTAAAAGAATTGTCTTTGTGCATTCATCACATTGGGCAATAGACACTTGATACGTTGTTGATAATATTGATTATCACAGCTTTAAAAGGCGTGTGTACAAACACACTTTTGTTCTTCTCCAAAGCTGACATGCACCTCATCAATGTTTGTTTGACGCTGTAACTACTGGTGCTGGATTTTACTTCAACAATAATAACAGTATCTATCAGATACTGGAAAAAGTCCTGCTGTTCGGAAACAGACAGTGAGTCAGAAAAGTGTAAGAAAGTCTTGAGGAGTGAGCGATCAACACCTCAGATGAGTTTTAGGTAAAAAAGTTAACGTGTTTGTGTGTCTGCACCCAAAGCCGGATGAAAATGCTGCAGACCCAAAAACACCAAGAGGGAGAAGAAAGGACGAGAATGACTTTGTGGAATCAGGCCAGATAAACCTGATTAATTGGTGCTCTGTGATCAAACTGTTTCCTCCTCCTGGTGGAAGTCTGGGTGTAAAAGATAAAACCGCAGGTCACTTGGTTTTCGTAAAACGAAGCGACTGAATGATACCGGACCACAGGTTAAGTCATCCAAGTTTTTAAATCCACGCAGAAACAACAACAGGATATCTGACAAAGGCAACCAGAGTCATTTCCCCTCATCATCTGAGATCATGACGACAAACTGCCTCAGGCTGCTGCCACAAAGACAACAGCTCCACTGATCTACACAAAGGGAAACCCAGTTTTGTACTGCACACAGAGTACACCCAACAGCATAACAATGATTTTCAACTTCCTCTTAGAATGGGTAGTTTGGATTTGTCTGATAATACTGTTTTGTTTAAAAAAGACATCTAACGCATGTTTAAAGATAAACTTAATATTCACATGTTCACCGTTCTTTGTGGGTGAAAAACCACTGATCACTCCCAGTAATGATGTCACCAGCCAGTAAGCTGCTCTTCAAAGGATGAAACCTCGCTCACAGAGTTTATTCAGTCAGTGAATGACCTGAACTGTGTTCACCTGAACTACTCAGTTTCTGACTGATGTAAAATGATGTTAATGTTTCAGACTGCTGTACCTGCAGGCTGTGTGGGCTGCAGGGAGCCACACCATTGATCCCGCGGCCCTGTGTCCCCTCTGTGCTCAAACTAAGCTGCTGGTGGGAGGAAAGTGGCAGGTGAGCTGCTCGAGGTGTCACAGCACAAGGATTCGAAACCTTAACACAGAGACAGAAATCAAATAAAGAAGACGTGAGAGAAAGAGAGACGCATGTTTGCATGTGAATGCTTAAAGTAGCACTGCTGTACACTCACCACCTTGCAGGCAGGGCTGTGTTGGGGTGGATGCAGAGAGGGCAGGGAGGTGTTGTAAGACAACAGGCAGGGCTGCTGACGTCGGTCCATGGATGCTGACAACTGAGGTCCCAGACCAGATGCTGACATGGATGGACACTTCATGTTTCTGCCCAGACTGTTCGACTTGCTTTCTCTGCGCTGGTACTCTATCGGGGACTGAAGGGCTACAGAGGACAGGAGGAGAAGTCAATTCACTCATCAATCCAAAGTCTGAACTTCTATTGAGGAAACACTGAGCTCTGGTACCATTTAGAAAGTTCCTCTGAGTCTCTAAGATCTGGACCACGTCACTGAACCAAGCCAACTGTATTTCTGGAGAGGATGCCTGCATGATGAAGCGCGCCACGCTGCCATCGTTCCCCCGGGAGGTCAGGACCAGACAGCATGGATCGTCTGCTGAGTGCTCATCCACACCCAAACAGCTGACCTGCAGAGTGCACACAGGAGTTGTGTTAATCATTGAGAAAACAGTGTAAACCAAACATGAATACAAATGTAAAGTTACTCTTACCTTGATGCTGTTTTTAAAAGTGTACCCCGGCAATAAGAAGCCTTTTTTCTTATCGATTGGCTCGCTGAAGATGACTAGCTGCTCAAACAGGAAGACCCGCCTCTCCCTGGCTCTGGTCACGCAGACACTTTCCTGCTCGCTGACGGAGAAGGTGTCCTGCTGGAGCAGCTTCCCCTGAGCTGTGATTTTACCCTGAAACAACATGTGTGTCACCAACACTGTGAGAGATCCTGGATACATGTTTAACTGCTGATGAGAGATTTATAAATTCAGATTCAGTTTTTTCACCTCGAAACCTTGAAGCCTGCCGACATTCATCATATCATTACAGCGTTTTGGCACGAAACACATCACCTCCACAGCCCTCTGAGGGAGGAAGTTGGATGAAGGGAGAATCAAAAAGTGCAAACAAGATTTGGCTACAAAGAAATATGCAGAATCAGAATACGTTTTATTTGTATTTTAGATTTCACAATGAACTTTTACCTGCAGCTCCTCAACATCCCTTCCTGCTTTACTGTAGTACTTCAGGAAGTCCTGCAGATGCCAAGCAAAGGGAGGATTTTATTTTGAAATTTGTGTGTGTACATCATTCATGAGTTCCAAAAGGCATTTTGTGAGGTGTCACTGGATCCTGTAAAACTATACACAACCTAAACAACCTTATATAAATCCAAAAAAAACTATTATCACATGATAGGACTGGTGTCAGCATGTGTAGTAAAAATACTTGGATGTATTTATATCATGTTGCAGTGCCATGCATGCAGAGTCATAGTCATGCTTAACAACCAAACCTTCAGCAGCAGCTGATACTTCATGATCCTCTGAACAGGTTTGATGAGCAGGTCATTGAGCTGCAGCCTGTGACCCAACTGCTGCCTGAGATCCTGTCAGGAAAAAAACAGAGAGAAAAGTGTTCAATCCATAAAACTTGAGAAAGTCTTTAAGGAGCTCCAGTAAGATTTACTGTGGTAGAAACGTTTACTCACCTCAAAGAAGGTCTCAATGTACTCAGAGACGATGTGCTCTGACTTGGGTTTGTTCTGACAGTAAACCACATACATGTGAAGACGCCGCTCCTGGAAATATAAAACGGATAAGCAGGTAATGTGGCAATGTGGCAATGACGATTATACATATCACACAGAGAGGGAATAAACTCTCTGAACTCTGAATGTCTTAATTTCCTCAAAGTTTTGTTGTTTCCTTTTCCACT